GGCCGCGTTGCCATCGGGCCCCTGCACAGGGGGGGAGGGCTGCTCCGCGCGAGGGGCCTTGCTCCCAAAAGGACGTCGCCAGCCCCCTGCGTGCATGCACCTGTGTGGTGTAGAGGAAGGACTCTGCGCAGATGCCCTCGTTGTCGTGCCACGTGCCGTGGTTGCTGAACATCACCTGGGGTTGGGGGTGGATGGTGGTGGGAAAGGATGCAAGGGAGTGTGCAGGAGCAGGATAGGGTACGGCAGGATTGGGTAGGACAGCGTTGTGTGGGATCGAGGAGAATTATTGGGCTTTGCAGGGACTGGGTTTGGGGGCTTTGCAGCGTCCAAAAAGGGTCGAGCCATCGCGGCCAAGAAAGTATGGGTGGGGCGAGGAACGGGGGGATGCAGGATGTGGGGATGCGGCGCTGCTGCGGGCTTATTGGGCCGGCATGCAGGACTGCGCGTTTGCTCAGTGCACGCGGTCCGTGAGGCGGCCGTGACGGGCTGACAGGCCATGAGGCTCGGAGGAAAATGATGCGCGGGCGCCCGCACGTGGTGCGGCAGTCGCGCTGAGACGGTGGGGAGGCTGCGGCCGGGGGCCTGGGCGGCCACGGGTCTCCATTGAACAGCGGCACAGCGCGCAGTGCCGAACAAGCACAACCGCCCTCATTGCTGATAGCAAAGGCAGCGGCAGCGGCAGCGGCAGCGGCAGCGGCAGCGACCGCGACAGCAGCGGCAGCAGCAACAGCGACAGCCATAGCGGCAGCGACAGCAGCGGCAGCAGCGGCAGCAGCGGCAGCAGCGGCAGCAGCGGCAGCAGCCAGCCGCTCCCCGGCTGACCTGGCGCTCGCTGCCGTCGTCTGCCACGCGCTTCGTCTTGCCCGTCGCTGAGGACGCGACTCCAATGACGCCGCCGGCCATGGACTGCCGCCGCGCCATGAGGCGCCCCTTGCGGTCGGCCGGGGCCTCAGTGAAGCGATAAAAGTAGTACATCTGGGGGTATGTTGACAAAAAGGGGGCCGGTGGGGGATGGGATGCTCGCGGCGCCCTTGCGCCGGCGCGCTCGCAAGAGGGCGCGGCGGCGCGGCGACGCGCTCGGGGGGCAAAGTGCAGGGCGGGGACCGCCGCCTGGCTGCCAGCGCAGCGCCGGCTGCTCGTCCAGCCGGGGGCCCCCGCCAGCGCTGCGCAGCAAAGTGCCCCCGCAGCTTGGGAGTGAGGTGCCCCCCAAATCACACACACACACACACACACACACACACACACACCCATGGTCATCCAGCCCACGCACCTCAAACCAGAGGTTCTGTGGGCTGTACCACTTGACCCCGTCGCGCGTCTCAAAGGGCGCGTCGCGATCCAGCCACAGCTGCGGAGCGCCACATGTGGGTATGAGGAGGGGCGGAGGGGCCGCAGGGTGGCGGAGACGGCGGCGCGAAAGCCCGGCGGCGGCGGCGGCAGCGGGGGCACCGGCGGGGCGCACGCCGGCGTGAGGGGCCGCGGTCGGGGGAGGCGAGGCGCTGAGCAGCGGCCGTACGTGGTACGCGGCGACGGCTGTGAGGGGGCGGCGGTGCGTGGCCTGGGGCCTGGGGCCGCACCTTGGTGATGAGACCAATGTAGGGCTGCACGCCGGGGTCGGCTGTTTGGAAGAGAGAAAGAGATTGTGGGTGTGGGTGTGGGTGTGGGTGTGTGTGTGTGTGCGTGTGCGTGTGTGAAGGGGGTGGATGGGTGCAATACATTTTTTTCTGTGTGTCTGTGTGCAGGGGGGGCTGGACAGGGTTGACGCAAAGTGAGGCTGGGGGGAGCCAGGGCGTGACCAACCACCGGGCGCGTGCCTCAGCAGGCACGCTGGGCTTCACAGGGCTCGCGCCAGCGACCCCGCAGCCGCGGGAAAACGCCCGGCCCGGTGGCCATTCGCCTCGCACCACCTCCAGCCCCCGCCCTGCCCGCTGCCGCGCGGCGGCCGGCGCGGCTGGCTCCCGGTCCCCAACCTGTCCCGGGCATCGTCCTCAACCCGCCCCTCAACCCTCAACCCTAAACCCCAAACCACCTGTGACGAGCACTACCGAGTCCTGCTGTATTTTGTGGCGCTGGCTGACGTTGCCGGCCGCATGCTCCAGGGTGTCTGGCATCTCGATCACCTTGTGGGGGCGAGAGTGTAGGTCACGAGTGTGCATGTGTGTGTGTGTGTGTGTGTGTGTGTGTGTGTGTGTGTGCGTGTGTGTGTGTGTGTGCATGCAGGGGGGGTGCATGCGTGTGCGTGAGGGCGCAAGGGATGATGTAGGCTGATGGCCTTTGCCAGCGTCACAGGGCTCGTGCGCGCGCGCCCGCTGGTATGCCCGCACACCTTGACCCGGACGCGGTTGTTTTTCGGCGCGTCTGCGAAGCAGGTACGCGGATGGATGAAGTGGCGGCTACATGGGCAGCTGGCGTCAGCGAGCCCGGGCTCGAACCTGGCCGCGCACCCAAGAACAGTGGGCCAGGTCAGCAAACATGCATGCATGCAGGCCTTTCGGGAGGACTGCATGGGCAGGCCCCTGCGCCAGCTTTCACCTCCGCAGGGGTCGGCATCTAGGATGCGCACTGTCTTCTCATTGCTCTCGTCCTTCACAGCGGCCTGCAGAGCGGGGGGTTGCGGGAAGCGGCTGGCCTGACTGCCAGGCGGGTGCGTGCTTTGCAAGTACACTAGGGGGCTGTGGACACTGCGAGAGGATGCCTCAGCGGTCACACCCTAATCTCTGGAGCGCTGACACCGTGGCTGGCTGATGGGCACATGCCTGTACAATGTGATGCACCTGTGCGCATCAACTGCAGCAACCGGTGACAACAGGCGACGCAGCGGGGCCTTGCGCTGCTCATCCCTAATGCCATCCCAGCAAGCTGCTGCCGCCCCTGTATCATCAAATCAACGACAGCAACAAACAACGGTGACACCATGCACATTGCGCACCTGCAGCCAGATCGGGTACTCCCGCCACGCCTCGTCGTCGAGGGACTCTTCCTCCTCGTCCGACATGCGTATCAGACAGTCGCTTCGCTCGAATATTAGGCAGCGCGCCGAACCTGTCTACTTCAGGCCAGTGCACACAGTCAGTACGACGCACTTGCAGCGCCGCAACAAGCAGCAAGAGCACCAGGCCTTGCGCAGCGCAGCAATGAGCGCACTAAAGAGGTGGGTGTGGAGAATTTTAGGTGCAAAGCTGCCCAAAGAATTGCGCCGTGCCTGAAAACACACGCGTGTCGCATCTATGATATGTCCTTTGGGCTGCCGTTGTCAAGCCCCACGCAAGCCGAACCCCTGTGCACGCCAGCGGTGCGGCCAATGCTGGGTGCATCTGCAATCCAGCGGCACTGCTGCCTGCGGATGGATGTCCCCGCCAGGCAACAGTGTAGCCTGGGCAAGGCCGGGGGAGCATGGGAAACTTGCACGTCACGCGAACGGCAGGCAATCGTATCACTGGGTTTGCGGTGGGCTCAAACCATCCATCACGGCATGCACCACAGATACGCATGCAGCATTAAACAGAGGGTGGAACAGGCGGCCTTTGTTGCATAGCAGTTTCTGCTTGTGTGGGCAGCACCAAAATTGATGGACGCGTTGTCAGGCCCCTGCTCTGTGAAGTTCACCGTATTTTGTCACTGTATGACAAAGGCATGTGGCGTCCACGCAGGCTGGTGGGGCATTCCTACCCACGCACGCACTTGGCATTGCTCATGCAAACAGAGCTCATGGACGTGTATACAAAGTTGGCTGTGGAGCCCCTAACAGTGCCGAGCAAGGCCGTGCTGTGATGGTGTAAGCCGCTGCGTCAACAGGTGGCATTTGCAAAAGCAAGCTTCTTGCTCTCACGCTTTTGCGTGGGGGTGCAGACTGCAACGGACATGACCAGAAGCGGTCACGTCCGTGGCGGCAAGCGCAGCCGTGGCAATCTAAGCAAAGACAAATCAAGTCTTTTGCGCCTTCTTGCACTGACTCGCCAGCTGGCTGAAACAAGCCCGAGGACATCCACACGAATGGAAGCCCGGGGGGCCAGCCGGGCGAAACTCTATACAGACCCTTTAGCGCAAAATTCATCAGCGCATTTAGGTTCTTGTTTCGGATGTTAATGATTTGCGGGGCAGCTCACACAAATAACCCTGCTGCCGCGCCTCCCGTTCGCGGACATCATCTGCCGCGAGCCACAATGACGACCACGACCCAGCTTCTGGCGCCCGCGTCTCAGCAGGCTGATGGAACGCTGCATATTACCCGTGAGCTTCGCTGCTGGCTTGGACAATGTCAGGCAAACAGTCCGGTCGCTGTGTGCGCAGGCCCTCGCTGACCTGGCACACAACACCACCACGCCGTGCCGCCGCCACTGCTGACCCCTTGCGCCCTGCCCCCCCCATCGCACCGCCCAGTCATACGGTGTCGCAGCAGCAAGAGCCTCCCCGGCGACCTTTCCCTGGGCGGCGCCGCCGCCGCCGCCGAGGCGCAGCAGCGCGACTGGGAGCGGCAGGGCGACTCCCAGCTGCTGCGGCCGCTGCTGCGCGAGACCGGCTACTGCGCGGCCCTCGACGACACCCCCGCCTTCGCCGCCGGGTTCGACACCGGTTACTCCTCCGACCAGGAGGACCGCTCGGCCGCCGTCCGCCTGCGGCGCGACCCGTCGTACGGAAACCCCCTCGAGTGCGACGGCTTTGCGGCCGGCTTCAAGCGCTTGCGCATGGCGGGCGGCGACGACCCCGCCCAGGCAGCGGTGAGCATCCTCGGCCGCATGGACGAGAGCTACGGCTGCCCCCTCGAGGCGGCCGGCTTTTCTGAGGGCTTTGACCGCGACTGCGACTCCGAGCTCGACGCGTCGTCGCCGATCTGGCTCTCCCGCGACGCCGCCTACGGCAACCCTCTGGAGTATGGCGGCTTTGCCGCCGCGTTCAATGCATGAACCTGTCTGCTGCGCCGCGGCCATCCTGCCTCGGGGTCTGCATAAGCCTGTGACGCCTGAGCGCGGCGCAGCCTTCATGCCGCTGGCGCAGCTCGGCTTTCGGTGCCCAAGCGCGCGTGAGGCCTGCGGCTGCGGCTGCAGGTGGCCGGTCGGCGCCTTGGATGGCTGCCGCCGGCCACTTTTGTATTGCCCCATTCCATTCCACGCACACCGCATATAAATGCGTCTGGCCTGTGCCCCCGTCTGGCCCACCACCGCCCCTGGGCGCCCCCTGTCCCCTGTGGATTTTTCTTCAACGACCGCCAGCAGCGGCTGCTGACCGGGATGACTGATCCCGTACTATTGTGAATAACGCCCATGCTTGCATACTTGCCCGGCTGCAGTGCAGCCCTCGGCTTGCACTCGCGCTAACGCCACACGTCGCATGCACGCCTTGCATATATACCACATTTCTCGGCCCACCGGCCAGAATCAAACCCCTGCGTCAGCCCGACCGCTCTCTTGGCCTCGGCCCTGGCCGCCCTCTTCCCCGCTACGGGCCCCGCCCCGTTTGTCTCATGACCGGCCCTCTGCAAGCCAATGACACAAACGGCGCACCCGCCTTGACTTGCTCTGGCTTGTGAGATACTTGACAACTTGTAGTGTGCATCTTTGCAACTGCATTTTTTTGGGCTTGCCAAGCTCCTGCTGTTGCAAGCGTTGCCTTGGGTCGAGCCGCCCTGTGCGCCCCCAAGGCTGCTGACTTGCAAAGCTGAGCTGGCAACATATGCACGCGTTGAGTTGCCTGTAGCAGTGCTTTGCAATAATGTTGGCAAATGCAATCTATGCGACAGCCACTGCTTCAAGTGTAGCACTGTAATCCCATCACATACACCGTGGCAGCTTTGATGATTTTGCAATGCTATACTGCGATTCAGGGGTGGTGGTTGGGGTCGTGTGAAGTTTGGGGGCTCCATCATGGACTTCCTTGAGGGACCGTGGGACTGTCAGGTGAAAGTATGTACTGACCGGCCACTGGCTGTGCCACACAATTGGACGCATATGATACGTTTAGTGCTCACTAGGTTCCATGTCCTTATTGGGGCAAGTTGCAACAACCGCCATCCATTGCAATGTCATGATGTCAGGTGGTAAGAAAGTAAGAACCTGTGCAGCAACCACGAGCAGCCCGAGTCTGCTGGCACAGCGCTGCCAGCCGTCCCTCAGCAAGGCAAGCACTTGGCCCTTCCATTCGGTTTACGCATGCACTCAGCTGTATCAGGCACACCCTTGTTGCGTCAACAAAACAAGGAACCAATGGCAGATCAACAAGATCGCTTGGCACCGCCCGTAAAACCTGGCGCTCTGCAACCTTTGGCGGCAGCAGGGAACGTCATAGATTTTCTTATTGTCTTGGAGGAGCTTCTGACTTCTCCTGAGCACGATTATAGGAGCCTGACCGCTCTTGTCCAACTAGAGCTGAATTCAACGGTACGCTGGAAACCCCACCACATGGGAAGTGGTGTATAAGTATAGGGGCGTATTAGGCACCGCGCGCTGCGCCTTTGCTGCTCGCCAACCCTTGCGCCCCCTCGACTCACTCGTACTGTTGCCCAGCCGCTGTCTGGCGCCGAGAGCGTCGCCTTCGTGCTTGACTGCCTGCGCGAGCTGCAGCGGCAGGCTTTGAGAACTACTGTTGGTGATGCGGACAACGGCCAGCAGCAGGGCGCCGGTGCACAGGAGCCGGCGCAACTATCTGAGGTCACATGGGGGCCGCCGGACGGGGCCGCAGCAGCCCCTGCCGCAGCCGCAGCACTGCCGTCCGCAGCGCCGGCGGCAGCGCCGCGCGCGCGCGCAGCCGCGCCGCTATCGCACCTGCTCTCGGACGTCCTTCACGCCCTCGCCCACGGCTCGCCGCCCCCCGGCGCCCCCGGCCCCACCGCCCCGGCCCTCGAGGCCCCACCCAGCGCCGTGCCACCCCCTGAGCTTCCAGAGCCCCTCCTAGCGTCAGCCGGCGACCTCCTGCTGTCTTACGCGGCCACAAAGGACGGCGCGAAGCTCGCGGCCAAGCTCGCCTCCGCGCTGCGCCTGCAGCGGCGCCACCTGCGCGACTGGGGGGCTCTGGCCGCGCGCGTGCAGGAGTTGATCGGGGACCGTAACACGTGCGGGCAGGCGGTGCGGCTGATGATGCAGATCGAGGTGCGCGGGCGCGGGCGCCGAGCCGCGGGGCTGGCGACGCGACAGGCCAAAGGACTGCGGACGGGGGAGGGGGGCGGCCCGGCGGGCCTGCGCCACCCCCCCTCCCCCGAGCTGCAGCGTGCGTCTGTCGGCGGCATGACAGCAGCCGCCTGCCGCGGCCGCTCCCTACTCCTTTTTACTCCTCATTGCGTGCATACCATATGTTCTCATCAGCATCCAAGCACGCATTGAGCGCAAGCTGATTGCGAGGGTGCTGACCCTCTCCGACCCGCCAGGGCCTGGACGAGGCTGTCGACAGGTCCGAGGTTCTGGGGATGCTGGTGGCGGACGGCCAGGAGGGCCTGGCAGAGGCGTGGGCCACAGACCTGGGCAGAGGCTACCAGGTGCGGTTGTGGGGCCCGGGCCGGCGGCGCGGGCGGGCGGGGCCAGGACCCTTGGCCCTGGAGCGGCGGTCGGGAGGCAGCGCAGTGCTTCGCAGCTCGCGGGGCGGGCCATGGCATGGGCGTGTGGCGGGGGGGGGGGAGCCCAAAAAGGGGCTTCGCTGGGAGGTGCGTTCGATGCAGCGAGCGATCAGCGCTACCTGGATGCCACTGACTATTCAGGCTACAAACACACACACACACACACACTTGCACACACAAACACACAATTGCACACACACGCACACATCCTCACGTGTGCCCACGCCCACTCCGCACCCCAGGTGGCCTTTGTCCAGGCCTGCATCGCCCAGGACCGCCTCAAGCCGGCGGCCAAGGCGGTGCGCACCCTGGGGCTCCAGGAGGAGTTCCCCGATGTCGAGGTGGGTCTGGGAGATCACGTTGTTTGTGACTACGATGTTAAGAAGGTGGTTGAATCCGAGATGGGTCTTGGAGATGGGGCATAGAGAGGGTTGCGAGGCCGTGCAGGGTCAGGGACGGGGCGGGGCAGTGCGAAGACAGGGAGCCTTTTGGGGGGTGGGCGGGGAATGGGGGTCCGTCGTGCCGCAGCGCCGACGTCGCTGCGGACGTTGGCGGGAGCCGCCCTGCGGCAGCTGCGCGCGTGGCAGGCCGCCGCACCTGTAAGCGTGCTGCTAGCCCAGCGACAGGCCTGTCGGGCCGTCGCCGACGCTGCCTAGCACTGGCATCTTTCAATGACACTACACCACCCCTCCTGCACCTGTCATCTGCACTATTGAGTACATTTGACAAGCCACGCCTTGGCCGGCCCCCACCGCTTCTGCCCGATGCCCCTGCCTCCGTCAGAGCACGTACCGCCTCCAATCGCTGCGTCGGCTCATGGACCGGCGGCTGTGGCCGGTGGCGCTGACGTTTGTTGGGCAGGACCCGCAGCTGCAGGTGGGTGCGGGCCCGCGTCCCCGCGCGGGCAGCACAACAAGCTCGCTTGGGCAACACCCCACTGCGCCGCGCGCCGGGAGCGGCCGCGGCCCGACCAGCGGCGTGCTGATAATCGATGACGTGGTATGAGGTGAAAGCTGTGCTTGACACGCGTGTGTCAGGTCGGCCCGACGAGCGCCGCCGCCACCACCTGCGAGGCGGCACGCGCTCCGCGCCGCGCCAACCTCTCACGCCCCCGCGCGCCCACGCCTCGCCCCCCGCCCCTCGCCTCGTCGACGCGCGCGTCCCTCAGATGCTCCTCCTGCAGGAGATGGTCGCCTGCGGCGAGGCCGCCCTCGCCGCGGACTACCGGCAGCAGCTCGGACTGCCCGAAACCGCCCTCAAAATCGACCCTGAGGAGCTTGCGGCGGCGGAGGCCGGTCGCAAAGAGACGTACCTGCAGCTGCAGCTGCCGCCAGGGGCGGTGGCGGTCGTGGACGACGCGCGCCAGCTGGTGGAAGCCGGCCGGGCGCTGGCGGCGGCGGGGGCGGTGGGGATTGACGTGGAGTGGCAGCCGGGCGGGCGGCAGGCGCCGGCGGCGCTGCTGCAGGTGCGCCGAGAGGGCAGTAATAGATGACTTGGCGCAGCACCTAGGGTGCCGCAGCGGGGCGCGCGGTGCCGCATGCTCCCGCCCCCGCAAGAGCGCACGTCGTTGATGCCGTGCGGCCCGAGCAGCTCAGCAGCTTCCGGCTCTCGCGCCACGGTTCCGCCGCCGCCGCCGCCGGCTGTCGCAGGTGGCGACTCGCGACCGGGTGTTTTTGTTTGACCTCATCGCGCTGGCGGGGCCCCACCCCTCCGAGCTGAGCGCCGCGCTGGGCCCAGTGCTGCTGTCACAAACCACCCTCAAGTTGGGCTTCGAGGTGGGCCAGCCAGGGGATGACAAGAGGGCCTCGGCCTGCAATCTGATGTGACAGTTAGTGGGGAGAGGGGGCGCCGGGCCGGGGGTCAACCGCCTGACTGCTGGTGGTGGGCAGGGGTCAGGGTCAAGGGCTGGGGGCTTGGGAACCCCTCGCCGTGTGGGAGGCGCGTGGGCCATTTGCCCCCGCCGCCATCAGCGCCCCGTCGCGGCTCGCGCCGCCGGCCGGCGCCCGGGACGACCTCGCCGGGCCCGACGCGCCACCAATCCCAACGCCACCTCCCCCCTCCGCAACCCTATTGTCGACACGCACCTTGGGACGGCCGGCCTCGGAGCAGCTGCTCGGCGACCTGGCAAAGCTGGCGGGAAGCTGGCCGGACGTCGAGGCGTTCCGCGAAGTCAATGCGGTGCTCGACCTGCGGCCGTTGTGGGTTGCGTACGGCCTCAAGCAGCGCGCCCAGGTGTGCGTGGTCAACAGGGGGTCATCTTTGTATCTTTCGCATCTGGGTGCCGAGTCGGCGGGAGGAAAGGCCCCTCGTTTTGCCGCTTACACACACACACACACACACACACACACACACCAACACGCACACACATACACACACACACACACATCGCAACGGACGCACAGCTCTGCACTGCGGCGCTCGCCATGCGATCACCGCGCCGCAACACGCGCACTGATGGCCCGCTGCATGCCTGTGCACACAACGCTTGCACCTCCTCCCCGACCCCTCTCCCGCCCCTGCTTGCGGCCACGCCCCGGGATCCCCGCAGGGCAACGGCTTCCCGGCCGCGACGGCGCGCACCCTGAGCGCGGCCGGGCTGTCGGCGCTCTGCGCGGCGCTGCTGGGCAAGCCGCTGGACAAGGCCATGCAGCTCTCGGACTGTGGGTGCCATTTGGGGGGGGGGGGGGCTCTCCGCGGTCTCGTGGATGGG